CTCCTCCACCCAGCCCCAGGGACCCTGCCCCAGCCTCTGCAAGCAGCAAGGCTGGAAATAAGCCCCTTCCCCAACACAAAGGGGTCCCATCCAGCCCCTCCAGGAGACCCCTCCCAAGCATCTCATGCATGCATGCATGCATCCATCCATCCCCCCCCCAGCGCCAGGGCGGATGCTGCCCTGCTTAGCATGCAGCTCAGGTTGGCAGCCTGGGAACGGAGACCCACAGCCGGCCTCTGCAAGCAGCAAGGCTGGAAATAAGCCCCTTCCCCAACACAAAGGGGTCCCATCCAGCCCCTCCAGGAGACCCCTCCCAAGCATCTCATGCATGCATGCATGCATCCATCCATCCCCCCCCCAGCGCCAGGGCGGATGCTGCCCTGCTTAGCATGCAGCTCAGGTTGGCAGCCTGGGAACGGAGACCCACAGCCGGATCCAGACGCCCACCCCCAGCTCCACGCTCCTGAGCCCCCCGCGCAGCCCTCACCTCATCCCCGAAGAAGGTGGAGTGCAGGAAGGAGAGGATCCAGAGCAGTCCCATGGAGCCCGCATCCTGCAGCAGCCCTGGGGATGCTGGCTGCGCCTCTAGATGGCACGAGACCGGCCGCGGCCTGGGGAGAGAGGGGCGGTCAGTGCATGCAGCAGGGTACGGGGGTGCAGGAGGCCCATTGAGGGGGGGTCTGTCCATCCAGCTGCACAATAGAAGCCCACAACCCCTGAGACTGCAAAGCCCCCTCCCTGCACGGCCTTCGCTCCCATGGGGACCCCCCCACAGCAGCTTGGCACAGGGTGGGCATCAGCTCCTAGTGCAAGGCTCCACTTAGGCGATGCTGTAGCTGCTTCTCTGGCCCCAGGGAGAGGAGGCCCATTGAGGGGGGGTCTGTCCATCCAGCTGCACAATAGAAGCCCACAACCCCTGAGACTGCAAAGCCCCCTCCCTGCACGGCCTTCGCTCCCATGGGGACCCCCCCACAGCAGCTTGGCACAGGGTGGGCATCAGCTCCTAGTGCAAGGCTCCACTTAGGCGATGCTGTAGCTGCTTCTCTGGCCCCAGGGAGAGGGGCGGGGGGTGATGGCCGGGGTCCTACCCGGAAGGTCGCACCCTGGGCCTGGCTCTCCCGGCTGTCTGCGGGGCTGGGGCGGAGACGGGCACCCCGCGAGCACGGAGCAGCCGTCAGCTCTGGCCAGATCCCGTCCCCGTCCAAGCTGCCACTACAGCTCCCCGGAGCCGGGCTTGTGTCTCCCGGGCGTCCAGTCCCCCTCCACTGCCTTGTGACCCACGTCCGCCTCTTCTCCCCGCGGGCTGGCCCTGGAGGCAGCCTGCTGAGCGGGGCTGGCCTGGCCCTGGTGCCAGGCGGGATGAGGTGGGGACATGGCCTGCACCTTTCCCCAATTGCCCTCCACTCTCTCCACGCTGCAGCCCCTGCGTTGGTGACCCACGGCCTGGCTGGTGCCCTGCTCCTTCTCCGGGCACCTTCCTGGCAGTGTTGCACACACCACATGGGCACGCCCCACCGTTGCCATCAGCCGGATCGCCCGGGCCAAGGGTGCCTTTAACCCGGGCCTCCCTCCTCCACGGCCCAGGGGCTGCGGGTGGGGAGAGCTGCGTGGGGAAGGCTCAGCCCAGACGTGCGCTCGGGAAACCGGGTCTGAGCAGCCAGGCAGCGCCACAGCAGCTGCAGGGCTGCAACCTGGGACTGTCAGCAATGAACTGCAGGAGCTGGAGCTGGAGGGGCAACTCCCCTAGCCGACAGCAGTACGGGGCTGCTGTCCTCTCATACGGCCCAGCTGCCGGACAGACACAAGCCCACAGTGCCGGCAGGAAGGAGCTGTGCGATCAACCCAATGCAGGGATGGACCCAGAGGACTTCATCTTCTTTCCACCCCAGGCTTGGACCCTTAAAAGCCAGTGTCTGAAGCCACCGGCGGGGACCCGCATGGGTCTTGCAGGTGCCGAGGTCCCTGGCAGGCTGCTAGGAAACTTTGCGCCCTTCTTCATGAATTCGAGCCCAGCGATGGGCTCTGGTTTCAGCCTCCTCCGCTCGGGAAGGGTTAGAGGCGCTGACCCCGCTGCTAAACAAAGCGCCACCGCCTCGAAAAGAGGAGGCTTTGCGATGCAAATGCTGCCTGGGCACGTCGCCCGAGCCTCCCAGCCTCTCTGCGACGGCGGGCGACCGGAGCAATTTCGCAGCGACACCTGCTGGGAAGCAAAGAGCTGCCTGGCTGCAGGCCCCCGGCGCACCGGAGCGCACGGTTTCGCTCCTGTGGGCATCGGTCCCTGGAGCCGCGGACAACCCAGGGGGCTATGGCTGTGCTCGTGCAGACCGGCAGCCCAGTGTTTCACCGGAGACGTGAGCTGCCTACGGTGCTCAGGACGCCCTGCGTACACTGGAGGCAGTGGAAGACGGTGTTGCGGGCACCCCGCCGAAGCAGACAAACCTACCCCCTCGGAGATCACGCTGCTCTGAGCTTGGTCAGCGAGGCCAGCCCGGGCCCTCGGTCTTGCAGCTCTCAGGGCTGTCAGGAACAGCCTCTCCTGGCAGAGGAAAGGGGCTCCGCTCAGGAGGCATCGCCGAGGGACCTGCAAAACGCTGCGCCAGGGTCGGCAGGTTTGAACCACGACTGCCTGTCCTCGCCCCTCCGTTGCAGGGGCTGGCTCCGAGGCACAAGGCACGGCCTGGCACTAGACAGCCTGGCTCTCTCGTGTTCCCAAAGACCTCAAGTTTCTCTGTTACCATTGAAGCCCCTTGACAGGCAAAGTCATTCAGGAAGGAGGGAGGGAGGGAGCGGTGGGGGGGGGAAGGGGAGGAGACAGACGCTCTGAATCCAGGAGACTGCAAAAAAAGAATAAAGCTGGTGGAGCATGAAAAGGCTCTTTACAAAGAGCCACAAAGGTCCCTTTCTGCAGGCCCTGCTGCCCCCTTGGCAGGCGGTGGGATCCGGCAGCTCCTAGGAAGGCGTTGCAGAGGGCCACCGAGTCTTTGCAGCCAGCCAGGGGTTGCGTACCAGGCTGCAGCGGGCGGGTGCGGGATGGGGGAGCATCAGGATGTGCTGGGGGAAGAGGCCACATTCAAGCACTGCGTTGATACAGCACTGGACCTCGGTCGCTCTCAAAGCATTTACGAGGAGTGGGACATCAACAGACTATTTTACAGGTGGGGAAACTGAGGCAGTGAGAAAGGCCTGCCCGCAGCTCCGGGGGCAGCCTAGATTAGAAGTCCGTCCACTTGTCCATGCAGTAGTTGGCCTTGCAGCCCTAACCGTGCCAGTGCAACGGGCAACGTGGCCAGTGCCCATGAGGAAACAGAACCGGCCATCTCCCGGCCACTGGCGGGTCACCGTGCCCCTTACCGAGCCCCGCAGGGCACAGACCCCAGCGCAGTCCTCAGTACACGGCATCTACTATCTGTCCCGACATCCCTGCAAGCAGGGGCCTCCAGAGAGATGCGGCAGGTGTTCAACGCCACCAGGGAGGCAGAGCTTGCACCAGGGACCGGGCTTACACAGCAGCCTGGACCCTTCTGCGAGCGACGGCAGCTTTCCCCCCACCACGCTGAGGCACGAGGCACAGCACTGCCTGGAGGAGTGCCACCGGCTCCCAGAAACTCACCCCAAATGCCAAGATCAAGCACGAAAGGCAGCATCCGCACGGTAACCACCCCCAATGCCGCGTAGCTCTAGTGCCCAGGCTCGGAAAGGCAGACTTCGTTCAAGCGCAGGAGCGAAGGAATCGGGATGCTCCAGGCCCAGGCAGTCCCTGCATCACAACAGGTCCCCAAACGTGCCCATGTCCCGAGGGACACAATGCCCCACCACTTTAGGGCATGGAGGGGGGAGTTCCCAATCCTAGTCACTAGGTTTCACACAGCGGCTGCGAGAGGTTCACCGAACCTGGCTGCGATCAGAGCTTAGAGCAGACAGCGTCGCCCCGCCGAGGGGACTGCTGATCCACCCTCCTATTGCTAGGCAAGAGGGGAAACAATCCTGCTGGGGCAGAGCTATCGTGGGAGGACAGGCGGCCAGGTTTCACATGATGCCACCAGCAGTGTTTCATACAATCCCATTCACCTACTAGCTACCCTGCAAACCATGCCACACAAGGCCCTTGCTGGGGTTATGCCGGGCACCTCCCCTAGCCAGTCACATACCATTGTGATTCAGAGCGCTGCGATGCACCACCAGCCCAGGGCGGCTTGCTAGCCTCCTTTCCCAGACACACAGAAGCCCACGTTGCTCTGTGCATTTAAGTCTTTTCTGTGTCAGCTCAACTGGAATTGCTACCCTTGGATGCAGCAGGCAAACGTATCGGTCGTTGGCTTCCGGACTGACGAGTACCTTGGCTGCAGCAGCAAGAGCAGGGGCAGTACAGGAGCAGTTATACCCCATGGGGGAGAAAACTTAGATATTAAGGGCATCTTTCAAAATCTTAAGTTCTCTGGTGAACAACAAATAACCCCCAAATTAACCACCTGAATAAAGCCACGGAGTTTAACACGACTCGAGTGTTTATCTTCCAGGTCAGTAAAACCGGATTACACCAGAGAAATAGACCTTTCCTTAACGAAAGGACGGGACTGAATCGGTGCAAAACTAGATTAAGACCGAGGCTTTCATCTTGCTGAGTCCAATCAAGCCACTTGACATACAAGAGGAGGTTAGATAGATATCTGGCTCGGGTATTATGATCCCAGCCCAGGGCAGGGGGTCGGACTTGAAGATCTGTTCAGGTCTCCTCCGAGCCTAGAGACTCTGAAACTACAAGGGCTCAGAGAAGCCCCACGTGTCACGAGGAAGAAGGAAACACTCGTCAGACCAGTGTTGGGAAACGATCTTTATTTACACATATGAAGCGGCATCCCCCAAACATCGCTTACTTCAGTGGAATGAACCTGGACGAGTGGGTAGCACCGATGCCAGGTCGGCCGTGTTTCACTGGCTTGTAGGTGATGGAAAACTCGCCCAGGTAGTGACCGATCATCTCGGGCTGAAAGAGAAAGGAGGGAGCATTGAGGAAGGGTGCGGCAGGCAGCGGAGTCCCTGCAGACACCCTGAAGAGAAACCCAACGTGGGCTGGATTTCCTGGCAGAGAGCACGAGGCTGGTGGTTCAGAACTAACCCCTGTCCTTTAAAACCACGACGCCTCTGCCGGGGGTTTCACACAAGCAGAGGCATGGGAGCGACTCGCAGCCAACAATTTAGTCAATGAACGCTGCCCTTTTCTGCGGCCTCAAATTCAGAGAGATTTTGGCGAGGTCGATGAAAGGTCGATGTTCCAGGCTCCAGCCATTCACTGCCGCTGCTGCCCTGAGCATTCGGTACTCGCAGATGGCCATTTGCGCCGTGACCGGTCATCAAATTGCCTGGGATTGTCCCTGCTCTTTGACCGATCGACGACTCCCCCCACAATGCTTGGGAGAACGCGCCCAATGTTTCTGGTGCGAAGGTGTGGAGACCTGCACAACGCTGCGCTCGCAGATTTGTCCCCCAGAGGGACTAAATGAGAGATCTCGGATGCCAGCGAGGATCCACCACAAGCACTCGAGGACTTCCCTGCCCCAGCACGTGCACTTGGCTCCCTTTGCACCCACAACTCAACCCCTTTGCCTCCAACCTCACCGAGCAAGCTCCCCTTCCTCCCTTAGAGCAAGGCCACTGTGGACTTCCGCCAACATGGCTCTGTTGGCCACAACTCTTCCCCCCACCCCAGCTCTGGCCAGCCTGATGTCTGCAGAAGCCTTTGACAGCAGACAATGATACCGGCAAGCTGCCATTTTATTGGTGTCCTTAATATGCCGTACCAGCCCAGGCACAGGCTTTTCTAGCATGATGTACTTGTACCGAGAGCCTTCTCTACACAGACAGGGCTCTGGGAGTGGCCAGGTCACTGCAGTGAACGCAGCCAGCCACACTGACGTGCAGTCAAGGACGCTGAAAGGCACCAGTGGCGGTTACACCCCGACCGTCCTCTGTGCCCTTGCCGTTCTCTCCAGATGTACAATGCAAATGCTCCCACCTCCGGAGGGGCCGGGCATGCAGAACCACCCAGAACCCTTTCAACGTGTTTTCAGGTTGACTTAGATTTCAACCACGAACAAAGGAAGCGTCATTTAATCCGTGCGTGTAACAGCAGATGGTGCGAGGCTGCACTCCACGCCCATGTTATTCCATTCCCCGTTCCAGTTGCAAGCCCCATTCCCACCCCCACAACCCTAATGCAAAACAGATCATTTAAATTTTACAGCTGACCCCCTGCTCCCCTCTACCCAGGCAGCCGAGTGTGAAATGCCTGTGTCACACAGGCTGCAGAGGGCACGGGGTTGTTCTCAGCCCCCTCACCCTTCCCACACCCTCCTCCCCGGCTCACGGCAGTATACATAATCAATACATCCACTCCGTGACCCCAAGGGCAAGCCACCGCTGGGGAAGCTTCCATCCTGTCCTTGGCTGGCTGGCAGGCGGAGTGTGAAAAATACACCCTCGCGCATGACGCATTTCCAAAGCCAGAGCCAAGCTCCCCGCTAACCCACCTGATCTTAGCGGAGGTCTCAAGGTTTCTCTTAAACCTGTGAGCTGCGCTGCCCTAGCAAAGAGCCAAAAAGCATCTTCTTGGATGGTAAGATCATAATCATACAAGGGTTTGCTTTGTAAATCACCCCACTTTTGGTAGGCTTTAAATGCCTCTTTGGATATAAAGCCTTCCCCCCCAAGGCAGACTAGCCACGGCTCAAAAATGTGCTTGAAACAGCCAAGTGCAGGAGGGCTGGACCCGCTGACCTCGTAAGGTCCCTCCCAGCCCCTAACATCTATGAATGGCTTGCTTTATGGCAAGTCCCCGGTGAACGGAAAGAGCAGGGACCCAGACACCAGGATGCTGGTCAGCTTCTCTCGCTCTCAGGCAGCACTACGGCCTTTGCTGCCCCACAGCTACAGCTCACCTTGATTTCCACCTGGTTGAAGGTCTTGCCATTGTACACACCGACCATGCTGCCCACCATCTCTGGGAGGACGATCATGTCCCGTAGGTGAGTCTTGACAACCTCGGGCTTCTCCATGGGAGGCGCCTCCTTCTTTGCCTTGCGAAGGCGCTTCAGGAGGGAATGCTGCTTGCGGCGCAAGCCCCGGTTCAGACGCCTGCGCTGGCGAGCGCTGTACAGCTGCATCAGCTGCTCACTGAAAGGGCAGGAGGAACTTTCAGCTTGAGGATGCTCAAGAGGAACGAGCACAGTTAGAACAGGATCAAAGCACAGGCCCGGACGCCAGGACTGCTGCGACAGCCCCCCTCGGCAATCATTACTCGATCGTTCAGAAAAATCCACAAGGCAAAATAATCTTCAGTCTAGTATTGGCCACACTGGGTCCCATCTCACCCACCACCCTACCCTCAAGCTTGGAGCAAGGGACACCAATGAACACGGTCAACGCTGGGACGCCCAAGTCCAACAGCTGATAACAAAACCTCTGCACCCACGGATTCCAGATCCATTGGTTGACGCATTAACTCCAAATTAGGGCTCTCAAGTAAATTAAGGCCCTCAAGGAGGAGACCAGTAATTCTTTCCAATGGGTAAAGCAGATTAGCCAAAAACACTTTGCCGATCTAAAAGGCATCACAAGCTGTTACACCAGACGGACAGGATCGTGTCCCCAGATGCCAGACACAGCCGGGCCCCTTAACGCGGTTAGAAAGCGCACAAAGGCAAGACATTTTTTGCAATCCTGGTTAAATAAGGGAACCTCCACTCAGACGACCGGGCCTGGCTAGCTTAGCAACGGTCTCAAGTTGCCGCAAGGAAGGTTTAAATGGGATATTAGGAAAAACTCGGAGGGTGGTGAAGCGCTGGAACGGGCTACCCAGAGAAGGGTGCCATCTCAATCCCTGGAGGTTTTTAAGCCCCGGCTAGACCAAGCCTTGGCTGGGAGGATGGAGTTAGGGCTGGTCCTGCGTGGAGCAGGGGGCTGCACTAGATGTGACCCCCTCCCACCCTCATTTCCTACGACTGCATGAGTCATACAGCAAGCGCGGGGAGCCGGCAGGAACCAGACTCGGCTCTCCCACCACCCTGGGCCAGGCTGTCTCCGCAGGGGCCGGGCCGGCGCGGGGTGGTTCTTACTAGGACATGTCGAGAAGCTGGTCCAGGTCGACACCCCGGTAGGTGAACTTCCTGAAGGTGCGCTTCTTCTTCTGCTCCACTTCCGCCTGGAGGGAGGGAGACGAAGTACATGCAGGTGAGGGTGGGAGCCGCAAAGCGCTGCTGGGTGCCTTCGCTGCACCCCAGCCCTAACTCCCGCGCACCCACCCTTCCCCGGCTGCTAGGACGACAGCGGGGTGCAGAGAGGTCTGGCAATGCAAGACCCAGGCTGGGCAGAACTGGGGCCCTTGCCCTTGGGGGAGGCAGGAACAGCCCTTTCCTAGGGGTTGCGTGTGCCAGGGGCAGGAGCCAGTAAACAGTGCACGCACGGGGCCCTGCACACACGACCCCCCCAGGCAATGCCCCACGCAGGGCCCTGCACAGGTGAGCTCCATGCCCCCCCAGTGCGCATGCGCATCTCCCACCCCGCCAGGGCCTAGTGCGGCCTAGGCAGGCGCAGACCCCGCCGGGCCCCATACGG